AGCTGTCATTGTTGTTTGGTGGGCCCGGGCTGAATTTGAACCCACTACCTTAGGTGTATGTGGCTGGCACCTTAGCCACTTGAGCCACAGGCACCAAGCCAACATATGTTCTTTTGTGAAGATGAATAAATTATTTGGAGATCATGTGATCTGTTCATTGTACAGATGGTAGAAATGAGACCTAGAGACACCGAACAGCAAACTCAAGGTCAAGAGGCAAGTCAAAGGAAGAGGAGTGAGCAAAATCCAGAGCCTCTACCTCCCAGCTGGGATCCAGGGCTGGGAACTTCTGCAGCTGGGGACAGGACTTGGTGCCAGAATCCACCGGATGTTTTGGATCCAGGAGGACACAGACTGAGATTCCTGTCCCTTGGAGAAGGAAATGCCAAGATGAGCAGAGGGACGAGAATGAACATGTGTTCGCCAGTTTGATTTTCAAAGCTCTAGCTCATTCTGTGCTCACAACAGCCTGGCTAGCTAAGCAGTACTGCCCTCATTTGGGAAATGAAGAAACTGGGACTCAGAGAAATGAAACAACCTGCTCAATGTCACACAGTTAAGGTGGGACCACAGTTAGGGAGGCAACACTGGAACCTACCTCTACCTTCCCATTTGCTGCTGTCCAAAGAGAACCTCGATGAGGATGTTCTTTGGACAGAAAAAAAAAAAATTATTGGGCAGCAGGAGTCTCATTCCCAAGTCCCCAGAGTTATCGTAAGTCAGGAGGGGACTCAATCTTAGAGACTGCTGGCCTCTCCGAGAGAAAGGGTTCACTCTGGCAATCCCTGTCCTCTATCCCTTTGCTCCTCTTTCCTGTTCCCTTCACCAAATTGCTGGAACTTGAACACTGTCAAGGTTCATCCAGAATGAGGGCCTGTCTCTTTAAACAGTGGTGGCTGCAATCCAGATGTTACTCCTGGTACGTGCTGCACATGCTGTGGACTCTTAAAGGCACAGGATTCTGCTCTACAGGGAAGGTACAGAAAGGACAGCTGGCCTAGAAGGGAGCTGCCTAGTGCCACAAGCGGGTTTTCTCACTTTTACTCTCCCCTTTTACTCATTTCCTTTGCTGGTCTGAGGAAGAGCAATAATGTCTGTAGGATGGCCACATTCTGTGCTGCCAGTTGGGCTGTGACCTCCCATGGGACTTAGGCCCCCCAATAATAATATTAGAATTTATAAGCTGTTCCCTTAAGTGAAAAAAGGCAGATACAAGTATGTATTATGTCATATGCTATAGCTTCTGTGAAAGGGAAACTATAAATATATATGTATCTATATCTATACATATATACTCTCTAAGTGAATAGAATGTCTGGAAGAATATCCTAGAACAGGTAATCATCCCTCTTCGCCCTTTGTGCTTTTTGAATTTTCTATCATGTACTGGTGTTTTGTGTTTCCTAGTACAAATAAATGAAATAATTGAGGCCAGTGTGCAAAATGCTTCATGTGTTTGTCCAATGTAAGTCTCAGCAATTCCACTTTGTCTTATGATTCCTATTTTATAGATGGAGAAACCAAGGCCCTAGGTTAGTTGACTCACTGGCAAGGGACAGGGCCTAGATTCATTTTTTTCTTTTTTTTTTTTTTGAGACAGAGTCTCACTTCAGAGTGCTATGGCATCATAGCTCACAGCAATGTCAAACTCTTGGGTTCAAGTGATTCTCTTGCCTCAGCCTCACAAGTAGCTGGGACTACAGGTGCCTGCAACAACGCCTGGCTATTTTTTGGTTGTAGTTGGGTTGTAGTTGTCACTGTGGTTTGGCAGGCCTGGGCTGGGTTCACACCTGGCCAGCTCTGGTGTACGTGGCTGGTGCCCTAGCTGCTGAACTACAGGCACTAAGCTTTTTTTTTTGAAACAGAGTCTCACTATGTTGCCCTCCATAGAGTGCTGTAGCATCATAGCTCACAGCAACCTCAAATTCTTGGGCTAAAGCGATTCTCCTGCCTCAGCCTCCCTAGTAGCTGGGACTACAGGCACTCGCCACAATGCCCAGCTATATATGTATTTTTTTTTTTTTTTTTGGTTAGCAGGCCCAGGGCAAGTTTGAACCCACCACTCCTGGCTCATGTGGCCAGCACCCTAACCACTGAACTATGGGCGCAGAGCCTAACACACACTTCTGTGTCTGCTCACAGCCCACCAGAAGCCGCCTAAAATATCCGTTTAATTTCCAACTACTGGCAAGCACTGTGTGGCTTTGGAAGATGTCCTGAAACCAACGTGGAAACAATTGCCCATTGTCTGCCCCCATGCACATGCTTAAATTTTTCCTAAGATAGGAAAACTTCTATTTTGTACCTACATTTTAAAGACATTCTCAAAATTTAGAGCTTAAGAGTCTTATGTTATTTAACAAGTTAAAACTCAGGGTTGACGTCATCTAAGAAGATGATACCATGGGGTAGAAATGCTGCAGTCCCTGGGCTGGCTTTGTGTACAGATATGGTGCCCCTGAACCCAGACAGGTCTGGAAGGGTTGTCAACAAATTATTCCCGGGAAGTCTAGTTTCCAAGAATTACTTTCTTTTCTTTCATTCATTCATTCTTTCTTTCTTTAGTACTTTTCCATACTCTTCCAAGTTCTTTTGCAGTGAGGATCATCATTTTCACAGAAACAATAAAGTTGTGGTTCTATTCCTAATCTTTAAGCTGTTGAATCCATTAGTAGCAAACGGGGCCCGACACGTGTACGGCTTGGCTAGCTCGATATTTTTCTCAGCAAGTGAACTGGACACTTCCAGTTCTCCC